GAAGGAGGAAACCCATCATGGATAGGACGTATAAACCTAGTTAAAATGGTAATTATACCTAAAATACTGTATAGATTCCAAATGGTTCCAATCAAACTCCCAGAGGCTTTTTTTAAGATAATAAAAAAAATGTTAACAAGATATATCTGGAGGAATAAAAAACCAAGAATATCATACGAAACATTGAGTAGGACTAAAGAGAAAGGGGGAATGGGACTACCTGATGTCAAGAGATACTATAAAGCAGTAATTTTAGCAAGAATTTATGATTGGACATTTAACCATAAGGGGAAGAGTTGGGTAAAAATTGAAAATGAACTGAGTGGGATTAGTTTGAGTAAGATGATATGGGTCCCAGCACATTTTAGAAGAATTAAAGAAAGCACAAGTATTTACACTTTAAATGTTTTAAGGGTATGGGATAATTTACACAAAAATATGAAATGGGAATTCAACTCTATATTAATGCCTCTTGCAAACACTGAGTATTTCCCCCAGGAAAGGATGAGATATCAGGGAGATGGTTTAAAAGGGAAGATATCCAACTGAGAGATGTACTGGTAGAGGGGGAATTGAGATCATTTAAAGAATTAAAAGAGAAGAAGGGAGACATTTTTACTAGAATAGATGAGTGGAAATATCACCAGTTAAAATGTTTTATTGGAAAGCTACCAAAACCCCTGAGATTAAAAAAGGAGTGGAATATGTTTGAAAGGCTGTTAGAAACACGTAGAGATGGGAAACATGGTATTGCTAAAAATTTATAGAATACTCACAGAATTAGACACAGACACAAAGTTAATTTTTATAACGAAATGGGAAAGAGATATGGAGGTGGTGTTAGACGAGGATCAACAGAAAAAAGATATTTAGATTGATACACGAGAATGTTAGTACGAGAGACGTGGAGATTAATTACACTGTTCAACAAATTTTTATTTTTTGCCAGTTTTGGAAACAAAAGGATCCATTTCTTAATGAATTTCACATTCTGAGTTCAAATATAACAATGAAATTTGTCAACTGGCTCTAGTTTTTCTGTAAACGGAAAGTTTTCTACTATAGGCGTAATGACTACATAATGCACAATAATTATATAGATAGATGTCTTTCCACAAATATAAAGCAAGTGATATTGACTACATAACAAAGCCTAAATGGCATAATATATTGCATAGGATTACCAAGAAAAAATTATAGCCATAAGCGAAGTTGAATCATTTTAATACTTAGGATTCTCACTAGTTTTGTCTTCAGTTTGTGTCGGTTTTGCTTCTCTTGGCTTTTCTCTTGTATTCGAGGAAACGGCTATCTCTTACAACTGCACGTGACTACACGCTTCAGGTTCTTCCTCACTTGACTCAACCACGAAGGATTCTGGTGCTTTAGGAATTGGTAGCCCCTCTCCATGAGGAACTGGACGTATTGCCGATGGAATATTTGGATAGTGCACAGATAACTTTTTCTTCTTATTTAGCCCTTTTACAATTGGAGGCACCATACAAAAGTAACAATTACTAACATGATCTGTTGGCTCTCTCCAAATCATTGGCACAGCGAAAGGCATAGATGCCTTTTTTCCATTCAACCATTGCTCCAGTGCTGTCCCACAAGAATTGCAGCATATATGTGGTGCCCAGCTCTTGTCCTGGTCTCCTATCTTGCAGCCAAAATACAAGTTGTAGGCTTTCTTAATCATTCCTGTTATCCTCCTTTTTTGTGAGATAAAAGTTATTTCAGCGCAGATATAGCAGAAATTATCTGCTTTATTCACACAAGTTCGAGGCATTACTGAGTAGCCTATATATGCAGAAAACGAAATGTAAAGACGAACTCCAATCAGCTACAGATACTGCAGCTTTTATGCAGTGAAGTGATGCAATTAAAGGCTAATATTGCATCATCTCAGTATACATGCAATTTTCTATTGGTCACCAGTATCAATTGCGCAATATGCAGCTGAAGTTGCATCATAATTTTGAATGGCTTACGTCATTAGATGGGTGAATATATCATGGAAACTAGAGCCAATCAACATTTTTTAGGGTCATTTTCGTTTTCAGCACCCCAAAATTATGTAAGATTAGCTAATTTTATGCCCAAAACTTTTTACCTGTTGAACAGTGTTATAAGTGTTTGACACGATGGCATATTACACCGAGCATTGAGCACAAGATGAGTGGGGAGAATTCAAAAATGTTTTGGAGAGGATGTGGGGAGATGGGCACGGTGTTTCACATATGGTGGCAATGTCCGAAAATTCAGGCTTTCTGGAAGACAATAGTTAAATTAATAGAAATAATAACTGGAAATGACATAGGGTTAGACCCAACGATGTGTCTCCTACATAATGTTGAGACAACAGTAAATAAATATAAAGAATCAGGCGTATGGTACTATTTAAATGCTGCAAAAGGGTTGATACCCAAGTTCTGGCAGAAAACAGAGGTGCCGAAGGAGGAAGACTGGATCAATAGAGTAAATCAGATTAGTAGAATGGAAAAATCTTACTATATGCATGAAGATAGGTTGGGAATATACTATACGAGATGGGAAAAATGGGAAAAATCAGGATTGAAAGAGAAATATAGAAAACTTTAAACTAGGAAGTTATTTAAAGTTATTGGGCCTCGAGAGATTGGAGAACTTGCAGAGGGGAGGGAGGGGGAAGGGTGGTGGGAATGGGTGGGGAGGGGAGGGAAAGAAAAGAGTTATTAGAAGGGGTAAAGTAGAAATGTAATGATTATTTATATGTATTGTGTCTCTTCTTATGGAATTTTTGTAAAAAGAAAAACTAATAAATATTTAAATTAAAAAAAAAAAAAAAAAAAAAAAAAACGATTTTGAGCTTTATTCACTTTTTTCAACACGCTATTATTTTGAACGTGTGTGTGTGTGTGTGATATATATATCTCTTTTATAATGTATGTAAAGTATAAATATCCTGCTGCTGACAAATAAGAGCAGTTGAAAAAAGAGCTGGCACAACTCTTGTAAATTATCTCTCAGACTCTGTACGATAAACAGAAATGGAAATATTGTGCATAGCAAACATAGTCAGATGCCAACTGTAAATTAAAAAGCAGTGACACAGATCCCTGGCATTTGGTATCTAACAGCTAAAAAAAGACAGCTGGTAACTAACTCTTTTAAACCCTTTCTGCTGTCCACAAAAGCTTCATTGGTCCTTTTTAAGGATACTTGTGCTCTTTCACGCAGGCTGTAGTCTATACTTACCTCTGAAATGTGAACCACAGTGGATCAATTTTCAGAGGGTGGTCTGTAGAGCAGAGGTGATCCGTTATGCATTTTTTAAAGGGAGATTTTGTACTGAAATACCACACAAAAAGAAGATTCCTGCTATGACAGTTTGCTGGCGTGAATGTAGTCTTACTGCTTTGACAAGGTAAAACTTTTTTTTTTTTTGCAATGATTCTTGTGATGTGTAGCCCAGTTGCTGAGCAATGCACGTTGTGTTGTGTTTGAAGCTAGCTATAAATTATAATCATGCTACAGCAAGTTACCACACAAACTATGTAGCCCAGGCCTCTTCCGCTTTGGCCAGCCCAAGTAGAAAATGCCCTGACAACTCTGGGAGTAGACAACATCATAAGCTTGGAGTAGAGGATGTGTATAGGGCGCATCAATGGAGGAGGCTGTGAACAGAGATGTCAATCAAAGATGGAAGAGCAACTGGAACACAGGCACTGGGCAGCACTTTTGGGTGTTGAAACAGACTCTGTATGTAGAAGAAGATGAAACAGGCTATTGGTTCGAAACCCTTACAAACTTGCAGTAAAAACAGGCTCAGTAAAATCCGTCAGGATGCGGGGGCTCTAGCCACCGTGCGAGAACCACTGACCAGCAGCTGCAGGGAGAGCTGAAGATAAGGATGTCCAAGATTGCCACCGCAAGTTCCAGGGTCGCTGGAATGCACACCAGAGCGTACGCTGTCTAGGAGACATTCTGTTTCCACAGGGTCTTTTTTAGGACCCATCCCCTTCCTCCACAGACCTCCCAAAAAACTTACTGTAGAGGAGGGAGCGGAAGAGGAGGTCGACCCAAGCTCATATCCCAGGAAACCACGTCTTCAATAGACATATTCAATCTATCCTCCCATCTGCTCATTGTAGAAGAACATAGCCTACTTAGTCAGGGCCTCTCCTCTGCACCTACCACCCAACCCCTTCCAGCTCTTTCAAGATCTCCATAAATTTATACGCAATCTTACACTCAAAAGATTTTACAATATTAATCAGGCTAAACTAGATCCATCTTCTGACATCGATCATAACCATACCACTTCATCTTCCAATATAGACAATGCTCTAGCTCTAGAACTGCTACAGGAACTCTACGTTGAGAGTTCGGGTTCCCTATTATACTCCCATTATCCCTGAGGATGGCCTATCTATATTTACTCAACATCTTTTACAATCCCCTCCCATTACACATACTCAGTGTGACGGCCGCAAGATCGCTGTCACCAATATGTGACGACTGCGGCGTCTGACCCCAGCCCTTCTCACGAAACTCATGACTGAAGGACTAGCCAGTCTAAAACCACGATGTCACTTGCGTAACAATGCTGCACTCCGCACAACGATTTTCCAGCTAATTGGACCACAATCGATGTACCGGCAGCCTGAGTGATTGTTACTGGGTCAGGTTAATTACGCAATTAACCCTTCACACTGCCACCACCTCCTTTTTGTACAGAGAAAGAGGAAACTCGGCAATATCCGCAAGAACACTATAATGGTTGAGGTAATCGTCTGTATTACACGGTTATACAGAGGGTTAAACAAACACAGTAGCGTTCTCTTTAGAGGCAGGAATTTGTAAATTGCAATACAGAGCTATAGAAACAGTTCAACACTTTCAGAAGGAAAGATTTATTACTAAAAGGTTAAACGGGTGCAATACAAATATTTACAGAAAAAGATCTACCGTATTTCGCGCTCCATAAGACGCACCTGACCATAAGACGCACCTAGGTTTTAGAGGAGGAAAACAAGAAAAAAATATTCTGAACCAATGGACTGAATACATAGTACAGGAAATGACAAGAGACTGCGGACACAGTACAGGAGATGACCAGAGACTGCGGACACAGTACAGGAGATGACCAGAGACTGCGGACACAGTACAGGAGATGACCAGAGACTGCGGACACAGTACAGGAGATGGCCAGAGACTGCGGACACAGTACAGGAGATGACCAGAGACTGCGGACACAGTACAGGAAATGACCAGAGACTGCGGACACAGTACAGGAGATGACCAGAGACTGCGGACACAGTACAGGAGATGGCCAGAGACTGCGGACACAGTACAGGAGATGGCCAGAGACTGCATGTGTTCCAGAAGACACTGCATGTGTCCCAGAAGACACCGGACCATTCACAAAGCGCAGCGCTTCTTGCGCATGTGCAGTAGGCACCCGGCTGTCACAGAAGCCGGCACAGGATGACTGTACATCGCTGGAGCGAGGAACAGGTAAGGTCCTGCAGGAGAGAAGAGCTGAGCTGCCGGCCCGATATTCTGACACGGTGGCAGCAGAAATACCGGACCGTCCCTTTATATTCGCTCCATAAGACGCCTGACATTTTCCCCCCTTTTTTGGGGGGAAAAAAGTATGTCTTATGGAGCGCAAAATACGGTAACTAATATATATATATATATATATATATATATTATACAGTATTTATATAGCGCCAAAGGGTATGCTGTACAGTAGCAAGGGGGACAGAACATGAGACAATACAGTAACAATACACTGCACGAGGGGTTCGAGGGCCCTGCTCTTTCAAGCCTAAAATCTAGGAGGGAGGGGAAGGTGGTACAGGAGGAGATGGCTGTGGGGGATGGGGTGGTGGGAGGAGTGGTTAGAGGTCGGGTGTTAGGGGAGGTTGGGGTAGGCTTCCATGAAGAGGAGGGTTTTCAGGGTGTGCCTGAAGGTGAGAAGGGTAGGTGACAGTCTGATAGATTGGGGTAGGGAGTTTCAGAGGATGGGGGAAGTCCTGTAATCGAGCCCAACAACACAGCAAAGAGATATCAAAGAGAGGTGAAAGGGTTAAGGTACTTGCCAAAGTCCTGGGTTAGCAGATCCAAGTTTCAGAGCGAAAGGGCATGGGTCTCCCCAAGTGGTACTGATGTTAAAAAGGGAGACGTCTTCAACTTAACTCTCTTAGGCCTGACAGCCCAATTTGTAGTTCCCCAGCAAGCGGTGTCTCTGAAGTCAAGGACCAATACCCCGTTTAGGGCGTGGAGGTCTAAACTAGAACCAAAATCTCGTTTAATTCATATTTTGGCTCATAACTTTTCCTATGCACAAGTGACACTCCACCCGCAGGTAGATTATAATGCAGACATGTCTGAAGATTGATTAGATATGAATTAGGAAATTATACACTGAATAGTTCACGAGATCTACTTTTCTGCTTTCCTATGTATTCGAGACAAGGAGAGTGACCCATCAAATTGTTTGTCTCCTCTTAGCGAATCTGACAATATGTCTGGTTTTTATGTCAGTCTCTCATATTCCAAGATATGAGACATAGGGGAAAAATGGATTTTGAAAAGTGTTTATCTGATTCGTGCTTCGTTGGAATGCCTTGAACTCCTGGGAAAGCTGTGTTAACTTTATACGAGGTGTTTAAATGGCACAGGTTCTTTGGACAGAGAGGCCCCAGCTCCCTTGGGGACTTCGTAGCTCCTAGCCCCCTGCTGGGCTCTGGCCTTCTGTGACACTCTTCACACACACACACACTGGCCAAATGTCACTGTGTCTCTCAGAGAGGGAAGGGGGAGAAGGAGGGGGAAATATGTTTGTCAGGATGGTTAACCCCTTTGCCAAGATGGAGGTTGAAGCCAAAATGGTTGAACCGCGTCCATCTAAATGTATACGCTTGCTACACTCAGCTATGGCTTGAATCTAATTTTTACCCCAACCAATCTAAAGGCCTTGTATAGAGGCTTTCTACAGAGTTGTCTATGCAGATTTATTGAAAATGTGTAATCCCTCCAAAAAAATCCATATTTAAGGAACAAAACCTTACTACCCCTGAACGAGCAGCCTTGCAGACTCTCACAACCAACACCAATATAGTTATAACATCTGCTGACAAAGGAGGGAGTATAGTTATTCTCAATAGAACAGACTACATCGCCGAAGCTTCACGACTATTATCTGACACACATAAGTACATCTGACTCAAAAGCGACCCTGTCAGGAATGGACTCGCCAATAGTGGTGGGACTCGCCTGCCTTGTGGGTTGCAGTACCAGGGCTGGCCAGCGGGTGCTCTCAGCAACCAGAGGCTCATTCCTGCAATCAGCCAAAACACCTGAGGCTGATTGCGGGAGGTGCATAGAAGGAATGACCAGGCCTGTGATCTGGGCCTTGGTGTATGTTGCCCATGAGCCCCTGTATCTTGTTCCTGATTCCTGTTACCTGTGTTCCTGTAGTGCGTTCCTTGTTGCCGACCCTGCCTGTTCTGATCCATGCTGACATTCTCCTGCTCTGACCCCCGGCTCGTCCCTGATCATCCTTCTGCCTGATCCTCTGTACTGTGCTGCCCGTGAGTTACTGAACCCGGCGTGTGACCTGACTACTCTTGTCTGCTGCTTGTACCGTGCCTGTCCCCACCGTTACTGACCCGGCTAGTCTGACCATGCTCGCTCCTGACTGTCATCCATCCATCCATCCCGCTCGGACCTGGACCTGCCAGCACTTTCTACCACAGCCGGACGCACTCAGGGGTCGCGACCTGGTTCCAGTCTGCACCAAGTCCATCCCCACCATCAGGGGCCCTGGTGGATAGCAGGCTGGGACTTAGACCCCGCACCCTGAGGAAATCCATGCTGTGGGCTTGGCCTGCCTGACCACTCCACCTCTCCAGCCCTGACTGCACTGTGTACCTATTGGTTTGTTTTGTTTGCACTGTGTTACCTATTAGCTTTAGGTTAGTTTTGTTTGCACTGTGTTTATTTGTGCAGCTAATAATAAATATTATTATTATACCATATCTGAAGCCACAGACCTCTGGAGTCCTGACAGACCCATTAGCAACATTCCAAATAGAGGCAAAACATTTAGTCAGTCAGGCCTGCCTCGATAAAGTCATCTCCCAAACCGAGGCCTTCTCTTTCATCAGAGATTATTACCACACTCTGTATTTTTATTACCTACCAAAGATCCATAAGAGAGTCACACATCCAACTGGTAGACCCATAGTGGCAGCAATGAATAGTGTCACCAGTGGATTTTCACTTTACATAGACACTTTCTTCATGGCACAAAACCTACAATCCTACATCAGGGATGGTATACATCTACTGGACCATATCACCCTGTACCCCTGGGAACACACCTACCTATGGGTTTCATTAGATTTTCAGTCATTATACATCTCCATACCACATGAAGTTGGCATCAGAGCTCTTCAATCTTTCGATCTCAGGACCCTACAATCAATTCCAAACAAGGCCAGTTCATTTTAGATGCCACACTATTCTATTTAACTCACAACAATTTCTAGTTTGATGGTGATTATTACCTTCAAACTCAAGACATGGCTATGGGCGCTAATTTCGCACTTTCATATACAAACTTAACCATGGGATACTGGTAGTCCCTATACATCTGGAACAATAATCCACATTCCTCTCACATTGTTTACTACGGCAAGTACATCAATGACATCATCATCATTTGGGATGGTGATGCTGACAGTGTTCAACAGTTTGTTTCCCACTGTATCACCAACAACATGGTTTTAACATTCACCTCTGTGATAGACCAAAACACCCTAGCCTTCTGTCATGAAGATGATCGAATCCTTGCCAAAAACTATTCCAAATCAACTGCTGCCAACTCCCTTTTACACTATGAAAGCTGTCACCACCCTAGGTGGTTGAATAATATACGTAAAAGTCAGCTTTGTAGACTTCGCCATAACTGTACTAAACTCCAGGACTATCAATTATTATAAAGTATTACCCTTAAAGACAAATTCCTTGAAAAGGGATATCTACCAGCTCTCATTGATGAAGCCCAATCACTTTACAATGCAGGTCCCAACACCACTCAACATACTGTAATTCAAGATTGAATAACCCCACCACCAGGTTTACCACCCAATTCCACAGTTGTCACATACATATGGAAAAGATAGTAAGAAAACATTGGGCCATATTTCTACAAGACCCACATCTGCTCAACAGCATACCTACCAAACCCAGGTTTTCCTATCGGAAAGCTTTTAATATCAAAAGCAAATAAGCACCCAGTAAACTAAAACCCATTAAGTCAGACATTGTCCCCCTTCGACTATTCCCTATCTTTGGCATGTATCGATGCAATAAACCTCCTTGTCTAACATGCCCATTTGTCCAACATGGTCAAAAAGATTTCAACACAAAAGGTAAAACATACAAGATTTCTGCATTCCACACATGTTCTTCAGAATTTGTGGTTTACTGTCTGGCATGCCCCTGCGGCTTATATTATGTAGGTAGAACCATCCGTACTCTACGCAAACGCTTTGGGGAGCATCGTCACCTCATCAAAGACAGCATTGACAAACATAGCGTCCCCCGACATTTTCTTGAACAGCATGGAAAATCCACTAAAGGATTAAAAGTCTGGGTCATCGAGGCCATGCCCACTGACCTCTCCAGAGCTGAGATTTCAGTGTTTGCCGCAGGGAATCATACTGGACATATTATCACCTGGATGTCTGAATGAGGAACTTGAGATTCATACCATTCTATAGAATTATTATTTCCCACCACTTTCATATCCTTTCATTACATCTATATGCCCCCACAAACAGATATATGTACTTACATGCATATTGCATAATCCGCTCCCTCCCCCCCCTTTCTCGTTTTCCCCGTTTTTAACTGCCACCTGTATATTTGTACATAGTTTTTGCTCATTTATATTCTTGTTTTTCTTCAGATAAATCTATAAGATTATACTTAATTGTTGTGCACCATAATTTTCACTAATGGTGCACAAAACCAGCTAACTATTCACCTGTTCATTTATTTATCACGAATGTACTATGTTTCATTCACCTAGTTTGGTTCATATATCTAATATCATTTACTAAGCTTATTCTAAATGCCATGTATGTCTCATGTATTTTATACTTGGATCCATCTTGCTCATTGCTTATTATGTAGCCCACTGGGGAATCCTCACCACTGCTCTGCGACAACATTCTTGCGGATCCCCCCTTCCCCCTCCCCTCTTCTTCTTTCCTTCACGTCCTGCACACACCTTGAACTTTTTTTTCCCGTCTCATTTTTTTCAAAACATTCCTCCTCCTCAGCACAGTTCTGTGCCTTTTTTTTTTTATCCTTTTTAATCTCATTTTTGTTATTTTTTTCTTTTACTCCATTTTTTAATAGTCTTCCCCCTTTCCCTATTCCACATCGTATTGCCTCTGTTGTTGGTCTTCGGGGGATGTTCACGTTCCTCCCCTCAGGCCACCCCCTCCCACCCCTTTTAGCTATTTATTCAGCTCCACCTAGTCTTAGGCATCAGTCTTGAAGAAGGA